TTTTTTTTGTCAAATGAAATATTGATACATTTAAACCATTTCCAAACTTGTTTTGAGTGTATTAATCATATATGTGGCTTCTTAAGCTAATTTTGGTAATTTATTGAGAAAGCAGAGTTTTTCAATTGAGTCTTGCATAGTTTTGTCTGGCTTCATGATCTTTATTGGTATAACTTTTTTTTTTGATTCTACTCGACTCTATATTCTTGAAGTTTTCTAGGAATTGGAGCCTTTCTGATTCGATGAGTGAACTGGCTGAACGTCTTGCCGCTGAAGGTGTGATTATTGAGGAATGTGATCCTCAGGTTGGTATGGAGCAAAAGCGTGGTTATAGAATGGGGAATGGTTTGTATCTTGCTCGATCCCATGACAATTATGATCGAGAAATTAGTGGCATGTTTGGTCGGTCGTATATTCCCCATCAGCGGCATTCATATTATATTGCTAACGGTAATGCATGGTTTATTATGGTTTTTAATTTATTCTCGTTTGGATCTTATTTTGAAAGTTTTTTGAGTTATATTTTACTTAGATTTGTTTATTGAAGTTAAGGGGTCATAAGTTCTTCATTTCTTTAATTTTATGCGTTATGGATTATTTTACGGTAAGATGCTTTTGACCTGCTTTTCCGCATAACCAGGATGAAAACAGGATGGAGTAGAAGAAAGACAGATATTAGAGTAATGGTATGGAAGTATAAAAGGGGTTGTTGGCATTATTGGTTTACGTAGTTTATATTTTGTGGATCGATTAGACTTTTCAATATTCTCAGTAAGATTCGGTGTTTGAAAAAAGGTCAGTATCAGTTTCAACGGCTTTAATCTTTTATAATTTGCTATTCTAAGCATGCTTTAATGCGTTAGATATGAGTCTGCAGTTAGAAGAAATTTTTGCATAATTTTTTGAGAAGAAATGCTGCCTCTCCACTATGCAGTCTTATCTGTGTAGCCTTTTTTATTTAGTGCTGGTTCATTCAACACTTCTTGTTTGTGAATATTGTGAATAAGCTTTACGTAGAAAGGATCATCATTTGAAAAAAATGGAGTTTTTTGCAAAATTTGTTCATGTATGTGTTCATATGTGTACATATAATTTTTAGTTATTAATAGATGCCTTTCACCACGTTTTTTTTCATACTGTTACTAGCTAAAGTGGGACAATTTTTCTTTTTGAATAAGTATGTCGGAAGGAGTATGTGTTTTTTTAGATTTAAATGTTTCATTCTAGGCCTTTATCCGGAGCAGGGGAGTTTTTTTTTTTTTTTTTTTTGAGTTTAAGCTTGGATAGCTGCGTGAGGAGGGCGCAAGTTTGGCATCTTGTGAAACCAAAACTCTTAACCTAATTTTACCTTGAAAATACACCTTTATAGCATCAAAATTATTACTTTTTTTAACGAATGATGGGGAAGAAAACAGAAGTTTATTGTCTGGAAATTTATTTAATTTTTTTCTTTTAACAAAGCTTGTGACGTCAGGTTGTTTTACTTAATTGTACCAAATCTCATGGAAATATATCAGGTGGTTTCATTTTTAAAGAATAGGCTGTGTGGTATTTTCTACTTTCTTACTGGTTTTTCCACGGATTAAAATACCACCTGGTTCGGTTTAATTTAGAAGCCTGTCTTTCGTTTTTTTTAAATATAATGAATTTTGTTAGGTTTTTCATTATGCTTGCAATAGGAGAAACCTTGAAATCAATATAGAAACCTGCGTTGTAAGTTTAAATAAAATGGTGAAATGTAACTAAGGAAGGAAGAATGAAGCCAAAAAAAAAAATGTAGAAGAAAAAACTTTAATAAATATGAAATGAATGCTGTTAACGATTAGGTGCAGCTAGTGCGGTCTACCATAAGTATTTGCCAGAATGAGGGAGAATGAGAGAACAGAGCAAACAGAGAGAGGAAGAAAGGGTAAAGGAAGCCTTAGATGCCGAACTTGCAATTTATAGACGTAGGAACAGTAGCTGGGTGACTGATTAAAGTATACAATAAGCAGCAAAACTTATAAAAAAATCCTATGGAAGGAAAAAATTTATTTTTTGTTTTTATTATTGTTGCTTTTGCTGTTGTCCACATATGGCGCTTTTTTGATGCCCACTGGCAACGCTAAAGGCGGAGTTTATGAAATTGATTGAGAATGAGGTATATATTTGGGTTTCGTGAACGGAAAATAGAAAGCAAGAGCCTTTGCCGGGGTTTTTCAAGTGTTCTTTTATTTTTTCTATATTTTCACTTCAGCTCTTTGATTTTTGGAGTGTCTATGTTTCTGTTTCTGTGTGTTTTTATATACATGTGTGTTTCTGTTTCTGTGTATGTGTGTATGTATATGTATATGTGTATTTGTGTGTATATATGTGAACGTCTGTTTGTTTGTTTGTGTGTGTGTGTGTGTGTCTGTTGTGTATGTGTGTGTACGTATGTAACCACCCGTTTGGGTTAGTCCGTTTCATTTTCGTGGCCGTCGTTCTTGTCCGTTCTGTTTCGGCGACCGTCTGTCACTTGTTTGTCGTCTACGGATGCGCTCATTGCGAGAGCATCATATATGTAGAGGAGGATGTTATTCATATGTGTTGCAGTGTTATATTTTCTCGACTGCAGAAGCAGCATCATCAGCTTTATTATGCCCAGGAAGAACATGAATGGCGGCTTTGGCGTAAAATACATCGTTGACCAGAGACAGACATCTTGACACCATTTTTCACACTTAGCTTACTCAGCTTAGACCAGTAATTCGAAATATTTAGTGCTTGATCTCTTCCTTTTCTCCCTCCCTGGTACTATTGTGGAATAGTGTTGATTTTGTGAGGATATTTTTGACTCAACCTCTGGGCTCTTCTGATAAGTGACCAGGGAAAGCAGAAGAAGTTAAATGGCTTCGGAATTGTGTAAGTCAGCAACAGTTCGAGATTTTCGCACTATTCGTGATAATGCGGATTCACCACATTCTTTACGTGCTTCGACCCCTAAGACATTTTCCTCTTGGATTCAGTTATTTCTGTCCAAACGACGTAATGTTTTCTCCAGTCATTCATTAATGCGGCCATCTGTTTCATTATGTATGTTTTTGCATAGTTGTCTTTTTACTTTTTTCTATTGGCAATTAATTGACTAATGCACTCCTTAGTGGTTTTTAAACAAGGTCATTTTTATTTTTTTGGTGGGAGATCTGCATCATTTTATTTTCGTTTTGCTCGAGGGAATGTTTGGTTGCTTTCTACGTGTTTCAGCTGTTTTCGCTGAAGTGAATTCTCCCATATAGATGGCATATAACTTTACGTCTCAACTTTGTTTATTCTTCGTTAGTTTTCAAAATCAAATAATCAATTTTCTAAGATTATTTTGTTTGAGATGGGAGTTAGGCTGTGAACGCTTCTAACAAAAGCATAACGCAATGTTTTAAAATAATACTTAATTTGAGGATTTAGTGAATAAGGAAGATTGCGTGAGGGAATAACGATGGGAAATGGTGTTATGCAGGCAAACATTATTACTTTTGATTGAAAGGCATTTTCCACTTATTAGTTGGTACTAGGTTGCACACATTTATTTCTTTTACTTTTGTCTTTTGGAAAATGGTACGAGAAAGTGTTTAAGAAATGGATTTCTTTGTAAGTTAAATCTATACCTTGTGCGACAGTTGTGTTGCTAAGGTGAACAGAGGGACGAGCTCGTTTTGAAAATAGCTAAAATTGCTGTTGTTGTGACAGCGCATATTCGGTAATAAAGTGGTTTTTCCTTCCAGCTCAAAAGTGAAGCATTTATGTGGATGTAATGATATGAAGAGGTGTTGTTTAGGCTCTAATTTTGCTCGGTAGCTGTTATTCAAAAAATTTTATTTTCGAAATTAAGGGCTA